CCGCCGCCCCCCGCCTCTGTAAATGACATTTTCCCAGAGCACAGCCTTGCCCATGTCAGCCCACGGAATGGCAGCCGCAAGGCAGAGTCAGGTGGTCGCCACAGAGACCAGGGCGCTGCCTGGCCCTTTGCAGGACGTCGGCGGGTAAACGCCAATGCCCAGGTAACAGGACATTGCCTGTGTTCTGCTGATAAGTCAACTGGGGTCAAGTGGCCCTTAGTTCTACTGAACTCATTCTGCTTACACAGGGCTGTGATGTGGCGGTCTTGGCCAGGGGGGGCCTAGGGTCCACACTGCCAGGATCCCGCTTCCCGGAGGGAATAGGATGGCGCCCGGCGGGTTCGACACCACGCAGCAGGACAGTGGCCTGGGACTTGGTGCCTGGTTTTTCCTATAGATTGAAGCCTGGAAAACATGTCCTCTTTGTACTTTAAACCTTGAAATTTTAAAACCAGAAGCCAAGGGCTGAGATGACGCCCTGTTATTTATTTATCTCTTTAAAGCACAAACACTAGAGATGCAGCTAACATTCTGTGAAGTCGCTCATTAATTTCTGCAGAATTCAACTTGCTGGAGCTTTTCCCGGTGGCCACAGTTCCCCCGCCACCCTTCTAGCCTGTGTTGAGAGTGGGGACAAAGGAAAGGTTGGGCGAGATCAGGGGAAGCAGGGTCAGAGAAAGCGAGCTTTTGTTTTTTAAGGCGGGGTTGTAAACTGCAATCCCATTAACTGGGTCACACAGTAACCCGCTGCTGGAAGGGGGTGGGGGTGCAGGAGACAGCAGACAGGTCCACCAAGATCTCATTACCCACTGCTGTCGCTGCGAGCCAACCAGGTGTCAGGTGAATTAGGGGGGAAACCAATTCCTACATCCTGTGGCTGCAGTGAAATTGATTATCCCGCGGCGCAGAAAGGGGCCGGCGGGGCGCGGGGTGCGGGGCGGCGGCGGCCCCCATCTGCGGTCTGTCTTGCCGTGATAACTGTTTATTTGTACTGGCTGTAGACGGCGTTTTGGGGAATGTACAAAGATTTTTTTTTTTGAGCTTCAAAAGGAGCTGAACGCACCCGTTTCTAGGGAAACCTGAGCTGGAGTACAGGCTTCCGGGGGCCGCACCCCCACACGCCGGCCCGGGCCTATTGTGCGGGGCAGCTCCTCCTCCCCCACCTCGCCCCGTTTAAAAAATTAATGCCACAATGTGAGATGATTGTTGATGTTCGCTATTAAATCATTTATTCATCCCACACAATGATTCAGAATTATTCATTAAGCTTGCTGGGAGGGAACTGGGTTTTACCTCCACGGTGGGAGTGGGGGGGGGGGGCGGAGGGGTGCTCTTTACAAGGATATTTAATAACAACACAATTATCATAATTAGAAGCTACCCTGATACTCTGATGAGCTTTTGACATATTTGTGAGTACTGGCATTTTAATACAAGGAGATAAACGAGACTGAGTAGTCTTAGGGAATAATGGATCGCTGAGGGAAAGCCGGAGGCAGCGTGAAATACCATCTGCATCACCGCCCCCGGCTGGATCCTGGTCTTTGAGTTCATGAATTTTACAAAATGCCACTTGCACTTCTGGATTTCCAAAACGAGTTCCAATTACGCTGTGTGACCCAGGGCAGGCCTCTGCAGCTCTGAGTTGGGGCGCACACGTCCTTAGGAAGAGCCCGAGCTTCCGCCCGGCAGGTCAGCTCAGCTCAGCCCCCGCCAGCTGTGTCCACGCCTGACCCGCACTCATCCTCCCCCCAAGACCTGGCTGGCCAGCGAGCCTCACGGCAGGAGCTGCTGGAGGGCGTGGCTCCTCGCGGGCAGGTACAGGTGAGGACCCTAAGGCCCGGCCAGGCGGAGGCTCCTGCCCTGTGTGAAGGTGGGGCCTGGGGAAGCAGCGGGGGCGGGGGAGAGGCTCCCTGCTGGCGGGACCTGGAGGGCCAGCGTGTGGGCCAGGCCCGCGGAGGACACCGGCTCTTCCTAAGGCCAAGGGCTAGTGATCGTGCGATGCTTCCGCACCTGAGCCCCAGGGGCTGGACGGGCCAGCTCTGGGCCTATGGGGGGGGAGGGGCGGAGACATGGGTCCCACAAGTAAAAGCGCCGCATCAGTGGGTCACAGGAGGGTCCCAGAGTTCTGTCCTCCCTGAGCCCCACAGACGCTAACGGGGGGGGCTACTCCAAGCCGGGCACGTGCGGAGGCCTCCGGAGCCGAGCGTCCTGCGGGCACTCAGACAAACCAACACGGACAGGGCCACTTGACAAGGGCTGGGACCAAGGAAGGGGGCGGAGAGGGGGGTCCCCGTGCAGTCAGAGCCGAGTCGGCGGCATCGGGGTGGCAGGGCCGACGGGGCAGGGCTGGCCGCAGGGACCAGGCTGATGAAGAAGGGACTCGGCCTGCGGAGGCTGCCCCATGTGGTCCTCCGGCCGCCAGCAGACTGGCCTGAGCGGGGCAAGGGGGCCAGTCTGAGCCACTGACCAGGTGGAGACGGCGGCCTCTGGGGGTGGAGCCAAAGCGGGGGACACCAGGCACCTCACGCCCACGGGGCCAGGGGGCGGCACAGCCTGACTGCTCCGAGCGGAGAGCCAGCCTGGGCCCCTGTCTCGTGCCGAGCGCGACACCCTAACCCGGGATGGAGAGGGCGGGGGCAGGCCGGCTCTCCCCCCCATTGCCCTCAGGATGAGGGTGTGGGGCCTGGGGGCTGGGGTTGCCAGAGGTGGAGCCCACACCCCAGACCCATGGTTCTGGCGTGCCAAGCGGGGCTTCTGAGCGTGCAGGCTGCGGGGCGACTGGGGGTGGCTGGTGCACCTGGAAAGGATGCCAACCTCTGCGGTTCTAGCTTGGCAGGCAGCAGGCTTACCCCAGGGGCACCCCGTTAAAACGCTCGCCGTCTACCTGTGGCTGGCCAGAGCAGAGAACAGAAGCCGCTCGGGGGTGCGTGCGCCCGCCTGGACTCACGAAACAAAGGGTGCCCCCGGAGTGCGAACTGTTCTCTCTGGCCCTGCTCTCAGCTCCAAAGAGGACCCCAGTGCTGAGGCCTCTCCACCCCGAGCTCCCTTGCCGGCGTGACGGTGCTGCCACCACCCCAGGCCTGGTGTGGAACTTCAAAACCTTCCCTGCAAGTTTTCCGCCGTCACCCCCAGGAAGAGTTGGAAAATGTCTCCAATTATGCAAGCGCCGTGTAAAGTGTCTCCAAAATACAGAAGGGCCTATTGTACTTCTCTCAAGTAAACCTGAACCTATTTAGTGCTCAAAGGCGAGAAGAACAGTGCCAGGGATGACTTTAGATGTAAGCTGGGCGGAGGCCAGGGCACCCGCTCCCCTCCCCCACGTGAAGGCCTCCGTTAGCTTCTAGAGGCCCTCGATAAACACCCTCCGGGAAGGTCTGAAAGGAGAGATCGAGGCGAGGGGCAGGAGGGTGTAAAACTGGGCCCAGCACGCGCCTGCTAACGCGGGGCCTGGCTAGAAGGGGGTTCGTGCAGGTACATGCAGGGCTGCGGGAGGAGAGAGGTGCGGGGCCAGGGCTGGCAGGGCGCCCAGAAGCAGAGCCCGAGACTGCGCGTGCGCCGCGTGCGCCCGGCAGACGCGTGATTAGCCACACGCCGCTGCAGGTCAAGGTCAGGCTAGACGCCACTCTCTGCCGACCTGGAGACCCTGGTCCCCACGCGCAAAGCAAGCCGGGACGCCCCAGGACCCGCAGGCGCCCGGCAAGCCGGCACCGGAGGAGCCCGGCCCTCACACGGCCTGTCCGCCGTCGGGGGCAGTTGCGGCTTCCGGGGTACGCGAGGCCCTGGCGCCTCCCCACCTCCCGGGGAGCACAGCACCACACCCTGCCCCAGGGGCCCTCCCAGCAGCCCCCACCTCACCCTGCAGGGTGAGCAGCCATCACGACGCAGGTGCTGGTGGGCGAGGAGCTGCCCCCTCCTTCAGCGCTACGGACACCCAGGGGTGGCCGCTGCACCCCGCTTTACAGGTGGGAGGCTGCGGCTCCGAGGGCGAGGCGCTGGCTCCAGGCCACAGGGAGAGGCTGGGTTCAGAACCCAGTCGGGCCACAGCGCCTCCCCTCCCCCTTCGCCAGGCTGAAGAGGGCGGAAGGATCTGGACGCCGCTCCTGCAGGCCGCCCGTCCACCGCGCGCGCCCGGCCGCCGCTACCTGCTCCGGCCAGCTTGTCCGCCAGCTCCTTGCGGACGGCCGTGGTGAGGTTGAAGTAGTCGTCGTCCTCGTCGATGCTCTGCAGGAACAGCGGGATGTGCTGGAAGACCACGGCGTGCCGGCACCGCCGCTGCGCCGCCAGGCCCAGCTGCTCGTCCAGCCACTGGTCCTGGGCCTGCTTCAGGGCGGGGCACTGGGAGGCGTCGAACAGGAACTGGGAGTTGAGGACCAGGAACAGGACGCCCCCGGCCCAGAAGCTGAAGTAGTCGTCGCCCCAGGTCTGGCGGAACTCGGCGATGGTCTGGGCCGTGGGCACGTTGCCCACGTCGTGGTTGCCGCTGACCAGCACCAGCGGGATCTCGCGGTCCACCTGCCTCAGCACCCGCTGCAGGTCCTCCGTCTGCTCCTTCCGCCAGGGCGTCCCTGCAAGAGGAGGGGCCTGTCCTGACACACCGAGGCTGTCCCGGAGCTCTTTACCCGCGAGAAACGAGAGCAGCCTGGAGACCCACCGTCCTCCCGAGGATGGATGGCCTCAGAGGCCCCCGGACCCCATGCCGCCGACCGCATGGCGTCATCCTGATAGTCAAAAGTCTGGCAACTTAATTCTTTTCTTTAGATAAAAGCAGCACCGGCAGTCCTGAATTTCCTGCCCTGTCCGAACGGCATCGGTGGCTACTCCTGGCCCCTTGCCCGGTGCTAGCGCTGACCCCCTGGCCACGTGGTCTTCCTCTCCACGCACAGGGCCGTGCAGGTGGTGGGCGCACCTCCGTGGGGAGATTCAGCCCCGAGTGGCCAGCTGAGCCGCCAGGCACCTGCAGCCCCCTTCAGGAACAGGTGGCTCGGAGCTGGGGTGGGGTGGGGGGGGGCGGAGGAGGGGTAGTAGCAGGAGGGCTCAGGGGCGTGGCAGGCAGCACCCCACACCCACCCAGCTGGGGCGATGGCGGGGCAGAGTGGGGAGCGTGCGGGGACCTCCTCCTCCCCACACTGGCTCCCACACCGCCTGTAATGATGCATTAAAACTTTCATAAAGGGTTTTGAAATGACCCATTCAATTCCACATCTGCTTTTTTGAGCCTCTCTGTGCTAACTTATTCACAGCACATGTTTTCTGAATGCCGACCGTGTAGGAGGCACTGATCCAGTTACTGGGGTGAGCCAAATCCTCTCTCCGGGGGGCGGGGCGGGTCCTTTGGCGGGTGAGGCCCAGATGCACGCCCACCTGCGTCAGAAGTCACGGGACGCCCCCCCAGACCAGCCGGGCGGGAGCAGCCTCGGCCCGCGAGAGGCCCAAGGGTGTGCAGACATCCGCTCTGGCCCGGCCACCGCCTGGCAGACTGCAGCGCCCCTTACCAGCTCTCCGCCCAGGAGGCCGGACCCCTGCGGCCTCCCCAACTATTCAAGGCTTCGCACACCCTGTCTTCTCTCCTCAGGCTCTTTGCACACTCTGTCTTCTCTCCTCAGGCTCCAACCCGCCCGAGCGCCACTCAGCCCTGTGCTCCTGGGGCGCCTGAGGGGGACCCCCTTCCAGGACCTGGCCCAGGGGGGCTGGCCTGGCACTACTCCTGAGCCGGGACGAGGCCTGTTTACAGAGAAGGGCCCCTGCTGTTTTGCAGGAGCCGGAGAGCACTTTGCTTTTGCTAATCACCAGCTCCGCCAGCCCTGAAAGGACAGGACTCATGACGAATGTCTCATTTGCAGGCATCTGTGTGGCCTCCGGGTAAAGTGGAAAAGGAGGCTGTGGCGGGTCACCCCTGGGGCTCGCGGAGCTGTCACCTCCGGGGTGGTGAGGGTGCAGCTGGGAGGGGCCGCCCAGCCGGCTCCAGCCCTGAGGGCTGGTTTGGGGCTGAGGATGCCGGGGTGGGGGAGCCTCCGCTCGGGCAGTGGCCAGCTGAGTCCCATGATCGTGGAGGGGGCCTCTCCCTCCTCAGGGATTCTACCTGCAGGGGCAGCGGTCCCCTGACTTGTCCTCCCACGGCACCGCCTGGGCTGCATGTCCACAGACAAGCGTGGCTGCCCCGTCCACGGCAGTCTCAGGGACGGTCCCGTCCCGGGACGTGACCGAGAGGCCGAGGCTGTGCCAGGCGGGTGCAGGGGGAAGAGGCCTCCTCCCCACCCGCAGGGAACCGCCGCTGAGAACCCACCTGAGTGAGAACAGCCCTCTCGGGCTCTGGACGACGCCCCGACCGGGTTTGTGGGGCCCAGCGGGAAGGGCGGGCGGGTGCTGAGCAGAGGCCGACCTGCTCGCGGCAACAGGGAACACAGGGCAGCCCACCCTCGACCCAGATGGTCCGATCTCCCCAAAGGAGTGGGGTCACGGGGACCCCGGGCGCCCCACAGCTCCACTCTTATTCACGTGCGCCCTTCTGACAGGGCCGGCTGAGGTGCGGCCTCGCGCGATCGCCATGACCGTGCCTGAGCGTGCCGTCGTCGTCGGGCTCATGACCTGCACAGGCTGTGGCCGGCTAAGCCGGCCCTGCTGCGGCATCCGCGGGGCTAGAAGCGGAGGAGATGAGCATTCGGACTGTTTTAAAAATCTCTGGGGAGCGGCTGTCCTCTGGCTGGGGCTTGGGCGCAAAAGTCCCTTGGTGACCCGGCTGTGCGGATGCCACTGGGGCTTGTTGTGGGACAGCAGCCTGGGGCCAGGCCGCCTCCCGGGACCTGCTAGTCCACGGGCCCGTGAATGGGCTGACGCAGCTATGAGGGGTGACCGAGCCCCCCCTCCCAACCTGTGGGTCTTGCCAGCAACGCAGTCAAGGTTGCCGTCCCTCCGGCCAGACCTTGTGTCTTCCCCTCCAAACTGCTCTCGCCAGCTAACTCAGGAACCTAACCACCACTTATACCCATAGGTAACAAGCGCCATAAGGAATTTAATATACGAGGGGAGAGAAGTGTATTGTGTAAGGTAATTAGTCTATAAATGCATCTGATTAGAGGGTGGGTAATGGCATAATTATGTGGTTATACTTAGAAACATTACTTGTTAATTAGTTGAAGTAAAATATGCTGCAGAGTGGTTTCAGGGTAACACATCTCTGACATACGAGGCAATGGGGGACAGGAAGATGACAGGCTGATGGGATGCTGGAGGCCTCACAGAGCGCGCGAGTCTGCCCAGGTGAAGTGAAGGGCTCTCCTGTTACTCAGAAGCAGGGTCTCTGGGAGAAGAGCTCGGAGCTGCAGTGTCAGCCGCCCCGGGGACCACACCCCCATCCCGACCATGCGGGCACGGGCTACTGGCCGGGCCTGGCGGTGGGCAGCCTGGCTCCAGCTCATGGCACGGTCTCCATGAGCAGAAGCACAGCCGAGGAGGTGGGCCGGGAGGTGAACCGCGGCCGGTGCTGAGCTGCAGGGGCCGGGCAGACCGGGGGCGTGGTGGAGCAGGAGGTGGAGAGGCGGGAGGCTGGCAGCCCGTCTGTCTGCTGGGGGGGCGGGAAGGCGGCTGGGCTCCTTGCTGTCACCCAAGCAGGGGAGGGAGACGCCGAGGGCACCCCTGCAGGCGTGGACCGCCGGGGGCGCTGTGGGGCAGCGCGACCTCACTCCCGACCCCGCTCGCGGAGTCTCAAGGTGCCAGTGGGGTCTGGGACGAGGGGTGAGGGGACACCCCGACACATGCTGGGGGGGGGCAGGTTCCACGTTGGGACACGATAAGGTCAAGGTTTAGGGTCTGCAGACTTGAACGATTTTTGATCAGTGGAACATTCTAGTGGTAAAATCAGAGTGTGACCGCTCTGGGGAATATTCAGGGAAAGAGCCCACAAACTGCATCTTCGCTCTGTTTCTCATCAGACTTGATAATGTGATGACGCCAGGAGCCGGAATCGCCTGTCCTGTTGCGGGCGACGCGGGGGGCGGGGGGCTGCGCACAGACCGTGAGCAGAAATGGCCGAGAGGACAAAGGGCAGCTGGCGAGACCTGGGGCCCGACAGAGGCTTCGGCTGGAGGTGGCGGGGTGAAAACTTTGCATGTCTGTCTGCAAGTTTCACAAACTACAGCAAAGTCAGCAGAGCGCAGAAAACAGTCGCAGAAACCTGGAGACCGGGAAGGGATGGGCGAGTCCTGAGGGCTCCGGGGACTGGGTCGAGCGTGGCGCCAGCGGTGGGGAGGTGGGACGTGCCTGCCAGGCTCCCCTGAGGCCCCAGAGCCCCAGGCGGGACTCGGGGATCACAGACCTTAAGATGCACCCCACGAAACCACAGTGCGAGCCAGGGGGCCAGTCAGGGCCACAGCCTCGGGGCTCCTCTGCCCGGCCTCTCGCTCAACTGCTGCCCATGCCTGTCGCCAGCCTGAGGAGGGCCGGGGCAGGGGAGGGGCCGGGAAGCAGGTGGCCTGCCAGCAGGGCTGCCGTCTGGGGCGCCCAGGGAGGCGCGTCACTGGCGTGACTCGTACACAGCTGCCGGGGGCCGTGCGGCCCCCTCTGGGCCCCAGAATCTGCCCCTCCCACCCCTCTCAGGACCACTGTGACTTCCTTTCTCGTGTCTTGGAAAAGAGATGGGATGAGCGGGCGGAGGCTGCCAAGCAGCAAACTCGCCCCAAGATCCAGATGTCCTTCCCCAAAGATAACCACACACGTAACAGTAGGTGTAATCACACCGCTGCGGCACAGGGCTGTTAGGGAAATTAAGCGAGTTCGTCTTTGCAAAGCAGAATGCAGGGCCCAGCAGGCCCTACATAAATGGCAGTTATAAGAACTTAAGTCAAGGGACAGGAGAGTGGTGCCGCGAGGGTCCCGCGCCGTCCAGAGGGTGCTCGCCGCCCACCTGCGCCTAAGGAGGCCTGGAAGGGGCCTGCCCCCGGCCCCGGGGCTGAGGGAAGCCGCTCTGTTGCCAGATTAAGCCACTCTCCTCTTGCTCCAACCGTTTCCTTTGATTGGCTGAGGGCAGCGGAGGCCGGCGGTGGCGCCCCGGAGGCCAGCGCCGTGATGCTGCTCCGGGCAGGTCTGTCGGCCCTCCCACATGGACACCAGTCTACTTCCCTGCCCCACTGACTGCACGAGTGGCCCTCAGTCATGCAGGGCAGCGTGGCCTGGGCTGAGCGGGGGCTCGTTTGAGTGGTGAGGACCCGCAGCCCACGAAACTGCAAGGACTCAGCTCTGTGAAACTTTTTAGAAGAGCTTAGGCCGGCCCTCCCCGGTGGCGCAGCGGGTCAAAGGCAGCACTGAGAAGCTAAAGCCGCTTCCGCATGAGTTCGATCCCCGCCTGCCCCGGAGGTGACCCCATGGCGCGGCAGACCTCTCCTGACCCGCCCGCTGCTCCCCTCAGCAGTGTACTTCGTCGATCTGCCTGTTCTGTTCCCCGCTCTGTCTCTGGTGAAGCCTCTCACCACCCCTGCATCTCTGGCCTGTACCCCAATTACAAATAAATAAATCTTTAAAAAAAAAAAAAAAAGCGCCTAGGCAGAAAGTATGCCCCAAACGTTAACAGTTA